CATTGTATACCTGGCATTTCACACTAACCTTTGCCGTTTGGTGGAAATCGCATTTTCCAAACCTGGAAAAACCTTGTGTATTCCTCCTGTCCTCACTCTGCCCTTTCCTAGCTCTGTTTTCTACAGACAGCAGAGAAAGTCCTCCTATTTCACTTGGAACAGTGCCCAGTAACAAGGCAATAGCACAGTGCAAACAAATGTGAAGTGAGTCATATGGGAGAACAAAACCTGCTTCTCCATACACAGGGGCAAGCCCTGTGTTGGTCTTTACTGTTCAGAAATCTAATCTTATGATAAGAGTAGATAGTTCTTCAAAAGAAGCAGGTCCAGAGGAAGCCACAAGGATGATAAGAGGGCTGGAGCAGCTCCCGTATGGTGGGGCTGTTCAGCCTGGAGCTGCGTGGAGACCTCAGAGCAGCTTCCAGTGTCTGAAGGGGGCCTATAAGGATGCTGGGAACAGACTCTTCATTCAGGACTGTAGTGGTAGGACAAGGGGTAACGGGTTTAAACTTAAACAGGGGAAGTTCAGGTTAGATCTAAGGAAGAAGTTCTTTACAGTGAGGGTGCTGAGGCACTGGAATGGGTTGCCCAAGAAGTTGTGACTGCTCCATCCCTGGCAGTGTTCAAGGCCAGGTTGGACAGAGCCTTGGGCAACATGGTTTAGTGTGACGTGTCCCTGCCCATGTCAGGGGGCTTGGAACTGGATGATCTTAAGGTCCTTTCCAACCCTAATTTTCCTATGATTCTATAAAACCTGGTAGCCCATTGCTCAACAGACAAAAACCCCCCTAAAAGACAGGATGACTGGGAAAGGCAGAGAGAGCTGGAGATTCAAAATGAGGTGTCTTTTCTCAGATGAGGAGCTTATGCCACAGTCCTTTCTGTGGCCTCATTCCTGAAGAGGGCTCCTTTCTACTGTATTTGATGCAGCCCCATGGAGTACCTGCTCTGAAGCTGAAAGCAGCAGGGTGCTGAGGAGCTTATGCTTTTGCAGAACTGGGCATATGTGTCTTACCCAGGACAGAGCTGGAAATTCAATCTCAAGTTGTCTGACCCTCCTGAGCCGTAAGTATGGTCCATAACCTACGCTCTTAGAGGGAGTGGGAGAACATGCCACCACATGAGCCAGGGGGAGCTCGTTGACTGAGGTAACCACACTGGCTGGCTCAGGCTGGATTTCCTCTTGTCCTGCACTTTGCACAGTAGCGTTTACATGTTCATTAACAGAACAGAAATCCAGTTGCCAAAGATGTCTGGAGGCTTCATCCAGGGCTTGCAGGTTATCAGATGGAATATCTTGAGTGAGCAGAGGTCCTGTGCCAGCGTCATCCTCTAACGACTCCAGAAGTACCTGAAGACTGGCATGGAAAGCAGTTCCTCATAAGCAGACATTGGAAATGAACTTGGACTATGAGCCCTGAGACACCTTGATGAATATCTCATCCTTATCTAAAGTGAATTCAAAGTCGCTTTTTCGCAGCTCATAAAACAAAGTCCATGTGATTTGATCAAAGTGAAGTTCAGAAATGTCACCTAAAGCAACGCTTCAAAGGTGTTCCTGGTTTGTTTGGTTGATTTCTTTAACCTAAACCACCCATTTAAACAACTGGTAAACTTAAAACATTAAAATAACCCCAGACTTAAGTAGGTAGTTACTCAAGTAAAGGAGAGGGGTCATTGAATAAAGATGCTGTGGTTTGTTCCTCCAACATAAGGGTTAAGAAAACAGGTCATTTTCTGCAGCCAAAACATCACTCTGCTCATGAACCAAATACAAAGGTCATTTCTGGGGGGCAATATCCAAGTTTTTGATGAATGTAGTGGCAGTTCAGAGCAGCCCGATAGCACATCAGCATCTGTTCGTGATGCTTTTGTAAAGGATGTTGAGCACCTTTAAAGCTGACAATGCTGTTCATCTGTCTTATGTTGCACTGGTCAAATATACACCATCAGACCAGTAAAACCAGTCCAACTTTGAAAAAGAAAGTTTAACCATCGTACATTGTACATCTTCAATGCATATGATGGATCAACCTGAAGCAGCTGCTCTAACCAAACACTTCATCTTACTGTCCTCTTCACTTTGCTCTTGTCCACATCCCTGTGGCTCCCATATTTTGAAGAGGAGAAATGGAAAGAAGCTGTAAAACACAGTTCTTTTGACAAAAACTCCCTCATATCAAATGAAACTACTGCCTTACTTTCCCTTCCTGTAGGAAATTGGTCTTCTGGTTAAATGAAAATGCCTTCTGTAGTGGGAGTCTAAATGTACAGTATTTGACAGAAGTCTATGCACAGAAATCTGGAAAGGTTATAAGAATATTACATTTACAGATGTCAAACATGTTGCCTTCCAAAAGTTGGGAAATCTTCCAATCACATTTATCTGGGCAGCCTTAAATGTCACTTTCTGTTAGGATACAGTCATTCTTTTCAGGCTCTCATACTGTCATTTTCATATGACTTCCATTTACTGCTTAGGAAGGGGCTGCCCTGGAGTTAGGATCTGTGTTCTGTGACTTGCTTAGCTGCCTACAGCAAAGACTCCGGGGAAGACTACTTTCCAGCTTGCAGTTCATTGCTTTTGTGGGTTGTTTTTCCTCTGAAGTCCTGCTAATCAAACTACATATACATACTACCTTACCCTGTGCAGGCAAATGTCAGTGTATCTCCATAGGCATGTAAAACATTAGAGAGGAAACAGGCAGGCTCATGTCAGCAGCTATCAACCTGCATTTTGGGTAGCATCACAAAAAAGGACTGGGTTCAGTTATACAAGGATTCCTCCATGCCTGATTCGCCATTTAGAAACCTGGGAAATCAAATTACATCATCCACATACTCTTGCATTTGAGCAGCTTGTTCCTGCTTGCAAGAGCCGGAGCATAAGGGGGTGAGCAATCACACCTAACAACAGGAGAACAAATCCAGTACTTAACATCAACCCTCCCAGGCTGCCTCAACAATTTGCTCATGTAACATTCCTCTTACCTTAGGGCCACTCATTGCTGCTCAGATTAAAGGAAATCCACACATCACCACCAGTCCAACTCAGAGATAGGCAGTTTGAAAGACTCTTCCAGCTGGAACAATCACAGGGTGAAGAGTAAGCACACCTGCACCCAAACCCCTCACCATGGTTGTGGCTTATTCTCCAAATAGTCTCAACTCCTCAGAGCTGCTTGCATGATAGTGGAGAACTGCAACACTCTTTGCCAGCTCAAAGAGACATCTGGAATAACCCACACAAGCCTTATCGCAAGGGATGCTTTTAACAGCAAAATGAGCCTTGTTTAACATAAAATTTGTGTTCTTCAGTGTCCAGGGGGAAAGCCTTTCTCTCCAAGCTGGCACATGGCTCTCCCCCTCTGAGACCTCAGGTCATAACTACTCTGGTGCTCATCTGCATACACAACATCCTTCAAAACTAAAAGTGGTCCAGCTGCCTTCTGCTCCTGCGTAATGAACAGCAAACACCTGTAAACCTACCTTGGTAGCTGTCGTATATTACTAAGACATGCAGGTTTGACTGCTTCCACGAGGTGGGAATTTACCATCAACCTTCTACATACTGGTTAGGTATTCTCAGTTAGGCTAGGCCATAAAGGAAACAGGGTTGTAATTTCTATTTATTCTGCTATGTATGTTTTAAAGGTTGCCTTTTGAAAGCAAAACCAGGCTTATTTTCTCACTGGGTCCTTACCAAGTCTGTGGTATTTATCACAACTCTTCCTACAAGATGACATTCCTCATCTTAGTTCCGTGAAGGATGCGATGTGCTGCCATACTTCCAAGCTTAAAAATTAACAGAGTACAAAGGAGGGCGTCTTTTTTCAAGAAGAGTGCAATCACCTTCCCTGTTATACGAGCAGTTGCAACACTGAAGGATTACCACAGCAGCATTGGGAAGTTAAATATTTATTCCTGCCATCAATAAATTCCCTCGCAGGGATCTTCATATAAAAGACTGTGTCGGACACCTCTAGAGCAGAGCTCTCCGGTTTCCTTCCCCCGAAATGGCTCTTCCATTTCAGTGTTTTTACCAGCGTACTGGGATATTTCTTCTTCTGATATCATCTTTAACCTTCACTGAAGGTGGAAAGGTCCTGGTGGTACCTCAGGATGGAAGTCACTGGCTCAGCATGCGCCCGGTAGTGGGGAAACTTCAGCAAAATGGACATGAAGTTGTCGTGCTTGTACCGTCAAGTTTTCAGATGAAGCCGAAGGAGCCTCACAATTACACAGTGAAAGTATACGCAATGCCCTACACAGAGGACCATTTCGCTGTGGCGCTCAAATCATTCATTGATGCCCATTTTATTGAACAATCTCTTTTGAATATCATTATTACAGTGTACCAAAGCACCATAGAAATATCCAAGTTGTTTTTCAGCAACTGTAAGAGCCTCTTGCACAACAAAGACATGATGCAGTACCTGAGAGAGGGCAAATTCGAGATAGTTTTAACGGATCCAACGCAGATGTGCGGACCCATACTTGCTGAGCTGCTTTCAATTCCTTCCGTCTACTTTCTGCGGGGACTTCCTTGTGGTATGGATTCTGATGCCACCCAGTGTCCAAGCCCTCTGTCCTATGTCCCCAGGCTCTTCGTCAATAATTCAGATAACATGACATTTACTCAACGTGTGAAGAATGTGCTGGTCCGTATGCTGGAGTTTGTTTACTGTAAGCCTTTCTTTGCTCCATTTGAAGAACTTGCAGATGAGTTTTTCCAAAACCAAGTGACAGCTATGGATCTTCTAAGCCGTGGATCTATTTGGCTGATGAGATACGACTTTGTGTTTGAATTCCCAAGACCAGTGATGCCCAACATGGTTTTTATTGGAGGGATAAACTGTGATCAGAAGAAAAAACTCTCTCAGGTATTAAACTTCATCTTGTTTTTATTGAAAAGGCAAGAACAGAAATGTCTGAGTGTCCTTACATCAAAACCTAACTGGCAACCCATTGGTATTTAATGACTGAAAGCTAATAAGGAATCCTGCCTAATGCAGAAATGTTATTTGCTAGTATCCAGCAGTCAGATAATATCATATCCTGGAAAACCTAAGCCTTATAAGGTATGAGAATTAAGTGACACGTAACTTTTATGCAAATAATAAGCTTTCTTGCTGAGCTGAAGCTCACCCCAACTGTGGTGAGATGCAAACTTACCTCCCCAACAGGAGCCAGATTTGTTCTTGGTTTCTTATGCCATAGCCATCCTTGAAAGAGCTGTCTTTGCAACCAAAGCCAGTCTTGGAAGACTTGGCTATATTGCTCTGAAAGAGTAGCCTGAGGAACACCCACAAGCACAGTCTGCTCTCTATCTGCCACATGGTGTCCTCCTTTCCCAGCTCTCTCATGGGCTGTCCATTTATATTTCCCCATACTCATTCTCCTTTCACCCACATAAAAGGTTTTATGACTTAAGATTTTAGCTATTCATCTTCTGGCTGGTTCTTTTTCTGTCACATCCATCTGCCAGATTGATTCATTTACACCTATGTCAAGGCGTCAGTATCTAACCCCCAGATTGTATCTGTCCCTTCCTTTATTGGTTTTTTAATTAGGTTTTAAGCTTTCCTGGGTGTGGATGTCTTCTGTAAATTCCCATAGGGTTTTTGGGTACCAGCCAGGTCTTCGAATCAAATACAGCATATCCTAGAGCAGATCAAAATGAGGAAAGGCATATTCAAGTATTGCAAACTGTGAGTATCCCTAAAACAGTGTGGAAGAAAGCCTTAATACCCTCCCCTTTTGTCCAGGTAAGTACGTTCAGTGCTGGTGTTCGAAGTGGCAGAGACAATCCTCTTACCAGAACTTACAGTCTCTGGAGCTACTTGGTTCACTCCAGTTGTTCAGTTGAAGGACAAGGAGTAGCAGTCGCTCACAAGGCATCATTGGCATCATTTGAAAGGACATGGAGTCAGGAGTGGGCAAGTGTTCAAGGCCAGGTTGGACACAGGGGCTTGGAGCAACCTGCTCTAGTGGAAGGTGGCCCTGCCCGTGGCAGGATTTGGAACTGGATGAGCTTTAAGGTCCCTTCCAACACAAACCAGGCTGGGATCCTGTGACTCTGTGGTTGCTGCTTGGATAGTAAAGACAACACAGATGTCTGTAAATAGCCTACAAGAGACATGCATGACTGTCTTGCTTCATCTGTCAATCTAGCTTGAAAGCATCTTCTTCTAGTGTTCATTTGAGAGCTTTTTCAGAGGTTATGAGCAAGAGGTCTGTTTCTGTGCGTCACCTTCTCCTGAGCTGTTTGAAAATGTCCATTCAGTCAAATCTATGTTGTAAATTACTGATGTGGGGACAATGCAGGTGATGGATCTGGCTGCTCTTTTTGGAGGGCAGGTTCTCATTCAGATCAAAACTTTCTAACCAGACTTGAAAATAAGCTTGCAGAAGCTGCCTGTGAAAGAAAGCTCCACTAGTGATGTAGAGCCCTGAATGTCCTGGAGGCACAAATTGTATCCCAAAGGCACCCGCCCAGCCACCTCCTTAGAAACCTTTATGGTGAGACATTATCACCAACATAAAACCACAGCAATTAACAACTGGAAAAGGATCTGGACCCTCAGAGTTCATGAACTGTTTCAGTCATGAACTGAACTGACACTGGCCATGAACTCATGAGTTCATGAATTAGAACCATGTTGTGAGTTTATGTTATCTGAGGTACAATGTGAACTGTGGTTTTGCAACTTGTTTTATCTCCAGTAGGATAAGAGGTTAGATGGGAAGGATACGTAGAGATGGGGGAAGATGTTCTGTTGGCTACTTATTGTCCAAAAAATGCATGTTTGCATCAATGAAAAAAAGAAGTCGTTTTCCTCAGTGGTACCAACTGGTTTGGGTTATTAAAAAGAAAAGAGAACTAAGGTTCCTGAACATTGCTTTCTCATATTTATCTGTCCTTACTGTAAGTTACATTTCACTGTACAACCTGCCCCAGCTTCATTAGAAAAGAAAATACTTACCAAAAAATACCAACTTACTACACCTGGTGACAACTCTGTCAGGCTTCAGCCTTCAGTGTCAGCCATCTCTTCCTTTCAAAACGGAAGAGGTGGAAGAACTTGAATACTAGAGGGAAGAGTCCTTTTAGTGTGCTCTTTGTAGACCCACTACTACCATATGGGGGCAGCAGGGTTTCTGGACATCCTCTCAGTGTATGCATTTCTTTCGTGGATCCCCATGCACCTTAGAGCGTGTTGTCAGTACATGTCAGCAAAAGTTGCTGGGTTGCTAAAGGTAAGAAGTGTCATAAGGCTGTGGTCCTACCGTGAGAAGGAGAAGGCTGAGATACTGAGCTGTAGTCTCAGCTTGCCTGAGCCAAGTGTATAGTAAGAGACACACCTTTTTTGTGCTCGTGCATTTTAAAGTGCAAACATCATCTCATCTTTTACAATCATTACTCACCGATGGCAACTTCATTGCACGCAAACTTGCGAGCACCCGAAAGGCAGAGGCAAGTCGAAAGGGCAGAGGTGTGATAAGAAAGCGCTGCCAAGTGGGGTGTTTGCGAGGGTGGAGCACAGCTACAAAAGCCTGTGAACCCCTGCTGAGCTCTCTTGTGTGTGAGTTCCTATCCATCCAACCTGCAACATGCTGGTGGCAGTGCTGCTCCTCTTCTTGTGCTGCCTGAGTCCTGCTGCTGCTGGGAAGATCCTGGTAATCCCTATGGAGGGCAGCCACTGGCTCAGTATGAAGGAGGTGCTGGCCGAGCTGCACAAGAAAGGGCATGAAATAGTTGTTATTGCACCAGAGAGCAGAATGATCATAGATTCCTCAACGATATATGAAATGAAAACTTATCCTGTACCTTTCAAAAAGGAAGAGATGGAAGAACTTCTGCACTCCCTTAGTGCAACTGCTTTTAGTGACGATTCTTTCCTGACCAGGTTTATGACTATTTGGGATAACTTCAAAAAGAGTTCTGCCATGTTTCAAGCTTCCTGCCGTTACTTACTGTACAACAAAGAGCTGATGAAATACATCGAAGAAAGTAAATTCGATGTCATCTTTACAGATCCTCTGACACCCTGTGGACAGATAATTGCTTTGAACTTTTCTATCCCTTCTGTTTTCTTCTTGCGGGGCATCCCGTGCGCTATAGACATTCACGCTGCTCAAGGGCCAGACCCACCATCCTACGTCCCACGCATATTCTCACTCAATACAGACCACATGACATTCTCTCAGAGAGTGAAGAACTTCCTGATAAGCCTTTCAGAGTCTTTCACCTGCGGAACGGCCTTTTCAGGATTTGAAAGCCTGGCCTCAGATCTTTCACCTGCGGAACGGCCTTTTCAGGATTTGAAAGCCTGGCCTCAGA